TTCAAACTTCCATTAGGAATTTTCTGCTTCAGCAATTTTGCAAGTGATTTTTTCAAAGTGCCTCCTCAAGAAACCAGAGGATGTAGAGAGCTGACTTTTGGCTCATTGTGTATCGGAGGGTGTGCTTTATTTTCTACAAAAAATTGTCCTTTTTCTTTGGGGGAGTTTTTTGGAGATTTTGGTCAATTTTCAAACCTTCACTAGGAATTTTTTGCTTCAGAATTTTTGCAAGTGATTTTTCCAGCGTGCCTCCTCAAGAAACCAGAGGATGTAGAGAGTTGATTTTTGGCTCATTGTGTATCGGAGGGTGTGCTTTATTTTCTACAAAAAATTGTCCTTTTTCTTTGGAGGAGTTTTTTGGAGATTTTGGTCAATTTTCAAACCTTCACCAGGAATATTCTGCTTCAGAAATTTTGCAAGTGATTTTTCCAAAGTGCCTCCTCAGCAGACCAGACGATGTAGAGAGTTGATTTGTGGCTCATTCGGTATAGAAGAGTGTGCTTTAGTTGGTGCAAAAAACTGACATTTTCTTTTGCTGAAGTTTTTTGAAGATTATGGTCAATTTTCAAAGGTCCACTAAGAATTTTCTCCTTCAGACATTTTGCAAGTGATTTTTTCAGAGTGCCTCCTCAAGAAACCAGAGAATCTAGAGAGTTGATTTTTGGCTTTTTGTACAAAAGAGTGTTCTTTAGGTACTGCAAAAAATTGACATTTTCCTTTGGGGGAGTTTTGTGGAGATTTTGGTCAATTTTCAAACTTCCATTAGGAATTTTCTGCTTCAGCAATTTTGCAAGTGATTTTTTCAAAGTGCCTCCTCAAGAAACCAGAGGATGTAGAGAGCTGACTTTTGGCTCATTTTGTACAGAAGAGTGTGCTTTAGTTACTGCAAAAAATTGACATTTTTCTTTGGGGGAGTTTTTTGGAGATTTTGGTCAATTTTCAAACCTTTACCAGAAATTTTCTGCTTGAGAAATGTTGCAAGTGATTTTTCCGGAGTGCCTCCTCAACAGACCAGACGATGTGGAGAGTTGGTTTTTGGCTCATTTTGAACAGAAGAGTGTGCTTTAGTTACTACAAAAAAT